TTCTTTCTTTCTTTCTTTCTTTCTTTCTTTCTTTCTTTCTTTCTTTCCTCGGCTGTTTTATCACCCCATGGGTGCTATGAGAATAATTTTTCTAGCCCTACATGCCGGCTATCAGATCGTCCCTGATTAACGCTCTGCTACCTAGGAATTTGGCAAAGCGGGGAGACTTGGCGTTTGCAAGCTTTTGCAAACTTTCCAATTGGTTGCATCCAGTCTGGCCCTCGGGTCATGAAGGAAGGAAGGAAAGAAGAACAGCCATGGCCCAGAGAGATTACCTGTGACTTTGACAACTTTTGCTAGACAATTGAAAGATTGTGGGGGGAACAGGTTGGTTTCGTGCCTTTTAAAGATTCAGGGGGCAGGAAAGGCTGTTGAATGACGCAGCTTCTGGGCCGTGCCTTCCTTCCTGGGCCCTGCTGCTAATGATCCTCATTTATATTCCAAATTAAATGTATACATTTAATCAGTTTATATTATTTCCTCTGATTAATTCCCTCGCCCTCGAGTTTTGCGAGGTGCGATGACAAAGGAGCTTTTTTTCCGGCGTGCGTTTTGAAGCAGCGGCTTTGATGTTCCCGCTTGTTGGAGTGAAAAGATTTCCTTTTCGGTGGCGGTCAAAAAAAAACTCAAGAGAAGTGAGTCTCATTGATTGGGGGGCGGGTGAGGAGGAAGAGCGGAAGGATGCACCCACCTCATTCGTGGGGGATGTAAGCCTTGGAGTGGGAAGAGTGACTCTGAGAACGCGCAGAAGGCGACAGAGGAAAGGAAGTGAAGGAGGGAGCAGCAATTCCAGGGTCCAGTCTGGCCTCACACACACACACACACATACACACGCACCAGTAAAGAACAAATAGCCTGCCCAAGTAGTTATTCTCCTTCCCTGTGCTACACCAACACATGCCGTGCCAACCACAGTTTTGACACCAGTTGTCTGGTTGGAGAACCGCGCATGTCTGGACCCTTTGGAAAGATTCGCTTCCTGCTCCGGCCTGAGTTTTTAACACACGTCTGGAAAAGCTTATTTTATAGAAGCCGAGTTGCTGCCAGTGTGTGTGTTTTTTTTAATTGACGAGCAATAGCCTGCTTTGATCGCCTTGCCTCTTTAATCAGCTTAGCTATTAAAGTATTAGAAATCTTCACCCCTGATCGGGTGCAGCAGCTCGGCTGAGTGGCTGCGCCAGAGAATGTTAAGCACAATGGGGGGGGGGGGGGGTTTGCTGGGGGGGGGGAGAAGTGTGGAGGCAGGAGCTGCGAGGCCCTTTGTGAAAACTCAGTGGGCATAATTTTCCCATTTTCGTGGCCAATTCACTTGGTTCTTGGGACTATTAAAAAGAGAAAAGGATCGATGCGAACGGTCTAATTTATAAATTTATACGTTAAGAGGACTGTTTGGGATCCAAACCGCGCTCTCTTTTCGTTTCTCCATATCCTGTTACCTTCCTGAAACTGGCTAGTGGCAAGCCAGATACCAGGCACAGCTTTGTTAAAATCTGGTGCTCTGCCTTGGACTAGACAGAATAACAGAGTTGGAAGGGACCCTTGGAGGTCTTCTAGTCCAACCCGCTGCCCCTATCCCGATCCGTAGGGATTAGATGTCCCTACAAGGTCCCTTCCAACTCTGTTAATCGAAAGCCTTCCATTTCAGCTCAGCTCTGCGCCGGGCAGCCATTCTGCCAAGCGGATCCGTCTCCTCGAAGGCGCGAGAGAAATATAGGCTTAGCCAGGATAAAAAACATCAGCAGCTCAATCTTGAAAGGAGACAGATCAATTCTCGGGCCCCGTAAAGGCAGATAAATGCCGGCCCAGCAGCCAAGAGTAGCAAACGGTTCTCGGAGCCTCTCTTTTACAAATTTGTGGCAGCGGAGAAAAATCGCCCCATAAATAATTCTTGTCTGGCTAATAAGGACATGATCAAAAGAGCAGGGCAGGTAGGGAGGTGACCCGTCTCTCTAAGCCCCGCATCCTTCCTACGAGTTTTTCTTCTTTTCCAAACCAGACGGAGGTGAGAGATCCATTTTTGGCACCGTGTTAACAGCCGCTCGTGCGAGATGGATAAGACAGGGTAGGTTGCCAATTCCCTTGAGACGGCCTTTCTCATTTTTTTTTTCAGCCAAGCCTGGCTGGTTTAAGAAGAAACCCAGGTTTCCAAATAAACCACCTTGCCCCCAGATGAGACCGTCATAGCTGGCTGGTTTACGTTCCAGATTTGGAGAAGGATTCATCAGCCAGAGCCTCCGTTTAATGATTTTTGGCTAGCTGGAAGGCATGAAGATTATTATTATTTTTTTCCCTCCTGCCCAATATTGACAAAACCCAGATGTTCGCAGCGATGCCATTATGTAGTACAGTGTTTGTCAACCCTGGCAACTTTGAAGAGGTGTGGATTTCAGCTCCCAGAATTCCCCAGCCAGTTCTGGGAGTTGGAAGTCCACAGCTCTTAAAGTTGAGAAATACTGACCTAATTCCAGAATCTGAAGAGGTGGGAAATAAATAAATGTTTAGGATCACTTACCTGTCCCAATTTAACTGAAGATACTAAGATGTTCGACAGGTGAGTACCTGCTCGACCAGGAAGGGTTATCTTCCCCCCAGCCTTTAGTCCAGGTGGTGCCCTTAGAGAAGATTGGAGTTCTCCTGCATCACCCTTTTCCAAGAAAACATATAATCATTAGGTAATTAGGAAGTTGCTATTGGATTATAAATACATCAATATGCAGTATATCTTTATGTAGCTATGGCAAGGAAGCCTGGATCATCTGCTGAGGAAGAAAGGCAGGAAGGGTCTTAGGAACTCTCCCCCACTTGATATTCCCACACGCAGCCCCACCCGGTTCTTCTATAGCTCCTTGAAGACCAAGGAGGCGTAGAAAGCCAATAATGATCAAAGTGACAGAGAAATCGCCAATCTCTGCTCATGTTAACCAACCTCCCCGATTTCCATGGATTCTAGGTAGAGGGGTGTTATTAGGATGATGGTTGGTCGCACGCTCGAGCCAGAAGTTCAGACTGGATCTGGCCTTTTTTAGCCATCTATCGAGTCCTTGCCAAGGACCTGGAATACGCAGGTGCGGGGGTTTGATGTGGGTTAAAAGTTTCATCACAGGATGTAAGCTGTTCTGAGTCAAAGCTGCCTTTTTGTAATTGACCGATGGGGATTGTGTCAATGCGGTTCCAAGCAAAGCTGCCTTTTGTAATTGACCGATGGGGATTGTGTCAATGCAGTTCAAGGGTAGTAGCATTGCCCCCCTTACCGGAGTGTTGTAATGACGGGGCAGTCGAGTTGTTTGATCATGAACAACTAAATCATGATGATCTTTATTGGAGTCTAGTCTCGCATTTATACACCTTTTTAGTTATCCTCCATCACTGGTTAACTTTGGTTACTGCTTAACTTTCATTACTGTTTAGCACAGTAATTATCTCTAGTTAAAGTCTAACATATGTTTACTTCCTCTCTCTAATCCTCCTTTAGATTAGTGACTTTGTTTACCTGAGTTGTATTTCCTTGGAAACATTCTTTATCTGAGATTTGCCGTCCGAGATTTGAACATTCCTGCAATTACAACTCTACACTGGAGCTGCTGAAGTTTAAAAATTGGGGATCATTCAGTCCCTCTTAGTTCATTCTCTTGCCCGTTTGTCTTTCATAAGGACGACCCATAAACTCTTCCTGGTTGGATTCTATTCTTTGTTGGCTTCCCAAGTAAGGGTAACTTAATTTGGACCCAGGTCTCTGCAGAAAAGGGGGTGAGCTGAAAAGCAGACCAAAGCTCTGCTTTGCAAAAAATAATAATAATAATCACCCCATCTGCAAGATGTGGGCAGTTGAATCCTAGAACAGAGATGCTCGTCTATTTAAACCTACATATCATGATCAGATGTAAGGCTGATCTGAGCTAGTGGCTCTCTGATCCTAGGAATGAGGGTTTTTTTTTAAAAAAAAAATCCAAGGCAATGGGTTGCATCAAGAACCCTTTTCTTATAGGAAAGGAAGGCTTGTAAAATGAAAATTTGTATGCCTCTCAGTTTGATAGGCCAGATTAAGAGGAGGCCTTGCCATTTTCACAGACCCGCAAAGCTTTGATGTGTCTCTGATGTGACAGAGGAAATGGTGTAATTTCTATCAGTTCTTCGCTCTCCTTTAATATGTTCGCTTGGTATCCGATGCGATAAATTCTCGGGAATAAACAACGAAAGCTCGGCTTGGGTTAAAACCGACGGATGTGAAAAGCTTTCATTCCTACTCTCTGTGCTTTTCAAGCTGTATTTAGTATTTTATTATTATTATTTTTTTAAGAGATTAAAAGATGCTTCATTTTCTAAGGCTGGGAGCGAAAAGGAGGTTCAATTACCACTTGAAGGAGGCGCGTCCTTTTTTTTTCCAATTTGGGCTTATCAAAAAGCCAATTTGTTCTGTGTACTTCATTGGATTCCTTTTAGCTTTATTATTATTATTTCTTTCTTTTTTTTGCCGCCCGCCCGCCCTCCTTCTTTTTAATTTGATCAAAATTGCCTTTTATGTTTGCTGGAGTGTTCTCCCAATTGTGCATACCAAATTAGAACTTAATACAGCCTCACGAATGGCTTCATAAAAGTTATTATCGTTCTCGGAGTTTATAAGACGTATCTCATTTCGCATCCCTTTGGGTTGCTAACGCAGGAGAAGGGTGGAAATGATTGGGCTGCCAATTGTCAGAAATTCTTGGGCGGGGAGTTGGGCTAGATGACCTACAAGGTCCCTTTCAACTCTGTTCATCTGTATAATTCTCTACCCCGGTTTGGCTTGTGGCTGTTTGCAAACCCTCGGCTTGGCCGCACTACCCAGGGTTTTTCAGCCCTCTCAAAATTGCTTTTCGTAAAACTTAGGTTTAAATCTCACCTGGAAGTTTTGCTTCCTTGGGATTTGACCAAGATTGATTCATACAAAATTGGTAAAAAGTAAATCCCCACCCCCCCTTATGTTTAAATTCTGCCTCTGCCTACCAGCATCCATAGATATTCGTCAGGCTAGCGTCCTGTTGGTATATGTGAGAGAGTTGAGGACTGTTTGGAAACTGAAGCAGTATTTGCTGTGTGAGCGAGAAGGAGACAGCAAGGAGCCTGGCCATGGCTTAGTTCAACTGTTCTGTACTAAAGCTGCTTGGTGCTCTGAAACTAAAACTGAAACTCCTCTGTGTTTTGCATTTGGAAGAGATTTCTTTTCAGGTGGGGAGGGGGAGTAGAACTCCTTACCATCAGAGCGTGTTAATAATAATAATACAGGAAATACTCTAAATGCTCTGATGGTCATTTTGAAGAATCCTTTCTTAGTGAGCCCCTAGAAGCCAAGAGGAACATATGTGCCAAATTTCAAGTTTGTAGGCTTTACGGTTCTGGAGGTTTAGGGATGATGCGTGAGTAGCATTTCGCCTTTCATATATAGATAATAAAGATATTTATTTTCTTCGTAGGTTGTGCTCCATCTCCGACATGGCGGTGCCCTGTGTCTTCCTTCTAACCGTGCTGGGAGCAGAAGTCACCAGCAAATCCACTGACAGCTTGGTAGGTAGGGTTTGTGGCCATTGGCCAAAATCGAAAATAAAAAGGAAAGAGATTAAAAATAAAAGAGAGAAGCTCAGATTAAGCCACCACACCAAACCCCGTGACAGGAATTTGATCAGTAGCATAATCACTGCCGGCTCATCGGCTTGCGAGTTGATTGACGGCTCTCCTCCTTGGGTAAGCTATGGCTCTAACAAGCCACATTAGGTCTAACTTTTCCTTACTCTGAGGATGCTACGAGGGAGGTTCAGTCCCGGAAGCCATCTGTTCCTTCCAGCGAGTGGAAGGCCGCAGCGTCTTAATCCTGATTTCCAGTTGTGATTACTGATCGCTCCAAATGATATTAGTCTGTAGATCGGATCAGCCTGGATTTGTGAATGAGGAAGCTGGGTTTTTAAAAAAAAAAAAACCACTCCCCCTCCCGTTTTCTGTGAATGCTGGCTGGGGAATTCTGGGAGTTGAAGTCCACAGACCTTCCAGTCCCCAAAGTTAAGAAACACGGTTCCACACGGACGAAGCCTGCCTTAATCCCTCCCAGTATGATTTACAAAGGCTGAACTATACGTTCTTACTTTTCGTCCCTTCCACCTGCTTGTAGGTGATTCACTGTATTAACCGTGATTTAAAGCATCTCCAAATTTCTGTTCGAAGAACCAATTCCCAAAGCCTGTAACTTACAGTCTGCTCTGAACAAAACCAGTTCTCGTTTTTTTTTTTTTAATCTAGAAAGGCAAGAAAAGATTTCTTTCCTGGTCAGAAGTTCCTGGCCTGGGAGAACTAATTTTTTTTTTCTCCTTCTGCCCCAGTCATCCATCCATCCATCCATTAATGCATCCATTCATCTATTCATTGATTGATTCATTCATTGATTCATTCGTCTCCAAATATGAGCTCCAGCCGGCTCAACAACCTTTGAACTCCCCAGCTCAAAGATTTGAAAGATTGCAATTCAAGGATGACCATTTTAAAGAGGTTTCTGACAGCGGTGCTTTTTGGCTACAGTGAATAATTGGACAAAACTAGTGAGGGGTTTTAGCTCCCAGATTCAGAAGCATCCAAGTCGTGTTTACTTGCTGGTTTCCCCATTTTTTTTAAAAAAAAAAAAACCTTAGATGCTTCTTTTCTCCTGTATCTAAATGAGTTCAGGATAACCCAAATTAAGTTTAACTAATTTTTAGCTAGCATCGTCTTTTAGGCCACAATTAAAACCTTCCGGCAGCCCAAGATAGGAGCAAGAGATTACCAGACAGGGTTGGTTCTAAGCAAACAAACTTTGGAAAAAAAATGGTTTTTTTTTTTCTCTCTTTCCTTATGCTAGGAATCGGATGCAGAATGCTGCGTCGATGCAATGGAAGCTAACAGCACCTGCCTCTCCAACAGCCAGTGCACTCCAGGTAGGCAGTTAGTGTGGTTGGGGCTGTTGTCGTCCACTGGCAGCCCGTGGAGACAGCAACAGAGTCGGACAGTGGGGAAGAACATGGGCCAGTCCAGGAGTCGTCCTTCCTTCCTTCCTTCCTTCCTTCCTTCCTTCCTTCCTTCCTTCC